GCCCCCCCTCAGTCTAACACCAGGTGGGGTAGCATTTCCTCAGGGTGCTCGGTGGTAAGCTGCCCACCCGTCCCCATCCTTCCAGTCTCCCCGCCGCTCATGGCTCCTCCATACATCTGGACCTTCGCCAAGATGAAGGAATTCAAGAGCAAGCTGGGCCGAGAGAAGAACGGCCACGTGGTGGTGAAGCGGGGTGAGGTTGTGACCATCCGGGTCCCGACCCACCCCGAAGGGAGGCGGGTCTGCTGGGAGTTTGCCACCGACGACTACGACATTGGCTTCGGAGTCTATTTTGACTGGACCCCCGTAACCAGCACGGACATCACCGTGCACGTCAGTGACTCCAGCGAGGACGAGGAGGAGGAGGAGGAGGAGGAAGAGATGGATGGTAAGAGCCACTGTAACCTCATCAGCACGTCCCCTCCGTTGCTTGCTCGGGCCCCGTTTCTCTGGCCACTCCCCACGCTGTGCCCACCCACCTCCTTTCTCCCTGAGATGGAGCCTCATTTCTCTCTCAGTTTGGGGGTACTTATTCTTGGCCCAGAACCAAACTGCGCAACCATGGTTTATTGCACGCACCCATTCCCTCCCTTCTCCAAATTGTGTCAGCAGCCTGTTTGCTTCAGCCCCCCCGGGCTCTCCTAGCACGCTCCATCCCACGTGTTACCTGCAGCCCCTCCTCAGGAGGACCTGGGCCATTTTAGAAGAGTTGGTGCTAAGCTTATGGCTCACTTCCGATTCATCCTCCCTAAACATGCTCCTTTGTGGGACAGCAAGTCTGCAGGGAAACGGACCTAGGAGAAGACCGCATCTCAAATGCGGGAGGCCCCGTGGAAGCTCTGGGCCAGCAGGTTTGTCTGCATCCCCTGGGCCCTCTGTTAGCTAGCGTTCACCTGTGGAATGGAAAGGAGGGCAGGCCCTTTCTTGTTCTGAACTCTTTGGCCCTCGCCTACCCCTGCAAGGCCCCTATGTTGCTCCTAGAAGGCTACAGTACTGCTTTTCTGTGAAGACATTATTGGCATTTGGGGGGGAGACTCTTTTTTGGTTACACAGGAACTGACCTGCTGTTTAACACTTGCGGGCACCCCTCGCCCCCACTAAGTACCAAACCCCACCTGTGAACTTAGTTACCTGAACAAAAAGGCCCCCAGATATCTTCCGAGGCCAGCGGCACCCGAGCGCAAAGCCCGCAGCATTCCCGGCCATTCTCTCTCCGGCAGCCCGGACCCCCTCTGTCTCAGCTCACCTCCAGCTCCTCTGTTGTGTTGCTCACGCAGACCCTGTCCCTGTCGGAGACGTAGAGAGGGGTTCCCGGAGCTCCCTGCGGAACCGCTACGGGGAGGTCATGCCTGTGTTCCGGCG